TTTTAAGAATTGTACTATCATCTGGTGTTGGAAGATTATTTCTTCTTTCACACTATACTTTTAAAGACTGGAAAAGAGATAATAGAGATAAAAGAGGAACTCATCATACCTTACAAATCTTTCATTTGTAACTTTGAGGAACAGAAGAAGCAAAGACTGAGATTTGAAACTACAAAGCAACGATATTTTAAGGAGGAGAGAAACAGACACCTGACACAGAGGATGGTACTCTTATTCTTTTAAAACTTACTGCAACAACAAAAATAGATCCAATGGCTGAAAGGGAAGCGTCTTTATGGAAACCTACCTGGTATAGGAAAAAAGCCAGAATTATATTGAAAAGAGAAATTTAAAATGGTGTAATGGAATAAAAGCCAACGCTGTATTTATGGACTGTTTTAAGGATCAAGGCTGATAGATATTTTAAACAGATTAAGAATGTACTGGATTTGTGTATTCGTGTAGTGAATAATAGACTCAATTTGATGAAAATCATTATGTATTGGAATTGAAAAAATGATGACTATTTAGATTGGATGGTTTCAATAATCAATGGAGTGTTTTAAATTAGTAAGGTGACTTTTTTGTATGACAACAAAGACGCGATAAGACATGATAAGTAATTGGAGAAAATCTGAATTTGAATTCTGTTTAATGAACTTGAATGAATTAAGGTTTAATATTATTTTGTTATTTTAAAGAGATGTATTGATTGTGGGATTATATATGTATAGGGTTGATTAATACTTTATTGCTATTAGGATATTTACTGTGTTGTGAAAGAAGAAACAAATGAGATTGGTGATAAAATGAGGGATGTGAGAGATTAAGAATTAGAATTGATAATTTATTGTTTTAAAGCTAAACTATGGTAATTGTAAACTGATAAAGTTATAAAACAGGTTGAGCAGTTATAGAAATTTAAAATAGAAATAGAATATTTTAAATGTATTATGTTATTCGAAGGAAATAGAGAGGAGATAGCAAAATGTATTGTGCTGAGCTGTTTATATATGTCTTTACTTTTGAATGTTTGACCACCCAAACACCACGGTGGGTCTTGAGTACTTTTTCTTAAGAAATTAAAAATCTAATAAAATATGTTTTTTTAAAAAGACTGAAATTTTATTTTAATCTTGTTTTAACCATTAGTTGTTGTCACACATAACTTGAGTTATTCACAATTATTCATTAAGCATTTCTTGCCTGGTTTATTGATTACTGTTGCCCCCAAACTTGAACTATAAGCTTCTATGCAGGTATGTAGATAATGTATAGATTGCTTCTGATAATAAATTGTCAGTTTTAAATAATAAAGTATTAATAAGAATCTATAATAATCCGCAAATGCCCAGATATTGCTTAACTGTATCACCAGCAGCCCCAGCTGTCACAAGTGTTGGTGTAGGATGATGAAAATCATAGCAATATTGAAGAGCTACTTCAATCTTTTCTTTGATGTCTATAACCCATTTGAAAATACTACAGCTTTAACTGCCTATCTACTGGTAAGTGTCCCATACTAAATTAAGGCATGTGATCAAATGCAAAGCATTCAGAGATCTGGGATTTCATTTATAGGGTTAGCTCTTACCACATGGCCACAGCACTAGCATAAGCACAACAGTGAAATGGTAAGCAATTCTCTGGTTTCACTGCACCCTAAAATAGAAAGTGTGAAAGAATTAAGTTGCTTACTTTGCCCTGGATGAAGATATACCAGGGATGTATATCCACAATGATTCCAGAAAGTATTATTTTTATAATTAAAAGGTTATATATCAATATATAACAAAACATCAATATAGCAAAGGATTTATTATTATATGTCATATTGAGTTGCATGCTAAAGACTGCAAGATAGCCTATAAATTGGTGTATCCTTATCCTTGCAAATAAGCCTGCCAAAATCTATTGGACTTACTTCCAAACAAATAAACCAAGTTATAGAATTGTTTTATCCCAAACTTGTTCACTCTTCTTATGATGATTTTGGTACCTTCTGATCCCACTAATCCACTTCCAGAGTTATTCAGAAGTTTAGATCTATGAAATACATAGCAGTCAACTCTATGTATTCCCTAGACTCTAGAGCAGTTAATTCTACACTTATGACTTCTACGTAAGTCTCATGTTGGACTAAGCATGGCTTGCTTCATCATGGTTAAACTGAACAAACCATAATTAGCTGGTTCTGCACAACATGCCAAGCTAAAAATCAAAGTCTATTAACTATAATTGCCGATTCCACTCAGTAATATTAAGCCCAAACACTAAGTACCTTATGGTTTAGCATTATGAGAGAAGCCAGCCATCTAAATAAAAATAACCTGCTCCCCTACATATAAATTTGGGGATTATAGTCACATGAAGAGGCAAAAATGAGAAGTTGGGGAGTAGAGCAGAGGTTGAAACTCCACCCCCAAAGCTAAGTAAATGTATGCCCTTTGCACAAATACATTAGATCAGGGGTGTCAAACTGCCGGCCCACAGGGCCGGATGCATCATAATGAAACCACGCCCACCCCATTGCAGGCAATGGCAAAAAGGTCACAATGTGTCACGACACGTCACGTGACGTTGCGAGTTTGACACCCCTACATTAGATTATGAATGAAAGTTTACCTAATCCCAATCTCTTATACTACTGTTAAGATATTACAGAAGATGCTGTGATGAAAAGCCATCCAAGAATATAATAAAAATGGGCAAGTACTCGGGTTATATAGCTGTTCCCAAATAAAATATCAACTGCATGACCATATTAGCTTTTGAACAAAAGATTAAAGAAAATTTAATTTAATTTAATTTGTTTTAGCTTTTAATTAGGTAACAGGAGGAGGAGGAGGAGGACTTCTCTCATGAGACTTCCACAGATTTTTGGGTGGTGCAATTCTTAAACTGCCATACACCTAACAGGATAAAGCATAGGATGTGTCTACAAATATCTTCTCTGACACCTCCCCCAAAAAAATCACTGCACCTCATGCAAGCTTTAACCCTTTCATACATGCATGCAATGTTATGATACATATACAACAGGGGTAAACGTCATGCCATGTCTGCACAACGCTCCTTTTGTCATTGACCATCTCCCACAGATGCTTTTGAATGTGTCACACATATTAGTCAATACACAGAAGACCTCTTAACCTGCTAAAAGGACTTACATAATAATGCCTATAAGGAAGTTTGTCATAATTGTAATATTTTATTTATTTTACTGTAGTTTGAATTATATTGATTGTATTTCCTGATGTTTATAAGCATTCCAATAATAAATCTGTCCTACCTATATATATCATACAGTACTGAGTACAAAGGTGAATGAACTTAAAGAAAATTTAACCAGAAAGATACCACAGAAAAATATGGATTCTCCTGAAGCAAAAACACTGGTAACAGATATTAAGTGCAGAAGCAATCTGCTCACAGATATCCACAGAAACACAAATATACTAGGGTTACTTGCACTGATCATTCATAGCAAACGACTCATACAATAACACCACAAAACCACAGATCATAATTATGTTATGTTGCGTTACTATGGAATATTTACTTTATTGGTTTTCTCAACCCTCCCACGAACTACATTAAGACTGACAGAAGACAACGAACAATGCAACGTTTCACAATCCAAACCTTAGCAAATAACGATCCCATATTATTCTGTCAGTTCCCTAAAGAGATGGGACTGGGACAAAAAACTCAAGAGGCTAAAGGGAAGGTTTAAAGTGAGAAAGGGCACAAGGAGCAGCTGCTAGTAATGAATAGGTCAGATGTAACTTTAAACTTTCTGCTTAAGGAATATCATAAGACATGATTCTATAATAGTACATGAAGAGATTTAGTTCTAAATATTTGAAAATATTTACTGTTATGAAACGCGATCACTGACATACCTTGGTCTTTTTCTTTAATTCTGGATATTAAGAACTATAACAAGTCATTCATTACAAATCAAACTGTGAAATAAACAGAAATACAGCAGGGCATGATTGCTAGTACCGTATATTCCGGCGTATAGGGCGACCCGGCGTATAAGACGACCCTAGTTCGACGCCGGGTCGCAAGACGATCGATGCCGAGTCGCAAGACCATCGATACCGAGTCGCATGCCTAGAAAGTTGTCTTATACGCCAGAAACTACCTTATTTCCGATGTATAAGACGACTCGGCGTATAAGACGACCGAGTTCGGAGGCTGTTTCGACACTCTCAAAAGTCGTCTTATACGCCGGAATATATGGTACTAACTTCGAGTGCAAAAGCATCTGGTCACTCCTTATCCTGAACACATGGAAAGTGAATATTCTCCCATTCTCCTGCTTCACGTGGCTTCTAAAAGATTTTAAATAAGTTGTTGAAACTTCTTTGTAAACGTAACTTTTTTTTGTTAGCCTTTGATTTTCAGTGTTGATTCCTGGTGACTGCCTGGGCAAGCCCCTGCCGTTTTCTTGGCAATGTTTCTTGGAAGCAATTTGCTACTGCCTCCTTCCTAGGGCTGAGAGAGTGTAACCCGCCCAAGGTTACCCAGCTGGCTTTATACCTTAGGCAGGACTAGAATTCAGTCTCCCATTTTCTACCCTGGTGTCATAACCATGACAGTATACGAAACTAGCTCTCATTAAAATAACTAGTTTTCCAAATATTTTGAATTCCTACAGAATTAAGATGTTTAAAAGTTGCTCTTCAGTAACTGATCATCTGATTCTATCTTCAAAGAGCAGCATATCTGTATATTATCAAAGCCTCAGGGTTGAGGTCTCAACCAAGCATTCTCCAGCTCTCTGGTCTAACCACAAAGGAGGCCTACTCCCTACCTCTGTCTGTATACGTACAGAAGTGTTGCTGCTGTCTCGCCACAACAGGGGCCGCCAAGAATTCAGCACTTGGCATTTCTGTCCCACAACTTGCCTCCCCTAGGATATCCTATTGGGGTTGGGCCAGGAGGTAAGCTGTTTTACCATGGTAATACAATTCCTTTGCATTACTGACCTCAGTTATTATTACCATGGTGACAGAAAATACAGCAATTCTTCCGTCAGCAGCCCATAATTCCATCTGGGGAGCAACTTCAGTTTTCCAGCAAAGACAAGTCTTCAATCCCAGACAGACATGAATATCCTAATCCATCATGCCCACTGTTCATCCTAGCTGGGGAACACAGGAATACAATACAACATATCCATGTGATAGTGAATTGGGTAAAGTTGTTCAAGGCCAACGTAGTGAGCTCAACAATATCAACATTTATAAATATGTACATTTTCTTGATGGGTGTTCACACCTGTGGTATTATATTAATGGAAATTTTTTACATCTAAGTATCATCCCGAAATACTGGCTTTCTTTAAAAAATATGATTTTCAGAGTGTAACCAGTAGAAGAGGTATAAGGGCAGAAATAATTTACAATGTCAGTAGATTTTTATCTACACGTCTCAAATTTTTAAATAATTTTTTATATTTTGATCTTACTCTGACTCCTAGGAATAAAAATTCAAATAAATTTTGGAAAATAATTAGAGAATGAGACCATTCTTATTATTCAGAGTTTAATTTTATTATTAAAATAAAGCAATACAAAAATAAACTAGGAACCTGAAATGAGATTCCAAAATCCAGGACTGCAATGAGTACATAAAGCTTGTAATGGATCAGATATCAAACAGGCAAAATAAACTTCACCTTAGAATCTTCAAAAAGGCCAAACTTTAAAACAAAATGGGACAGAAAAAAGTGAGCTATCTTTGTTCTCATTTATAAAAGATTTCTTTCCTGTTATGAAAGCACTCGTAGGTTGTGTTTCTTGCCTAGGAACAGCCTTGAATTACCTAATACCAAAAATGTAAGTGTTAATTTATCAAGATATCATCTACACATTCCTTATAATAGTTAACCCAAGATATTTTACTTCCTTGTTCAGCAGCCAAATCTTTAATAATGTTCACCTAAGGAATATGTAAGTGGTTTTATCTTGAATTTTAGAATCCTCCAATCATGCTAAGAAGCAATAAAAATGGTTTAGACCTATCCAAAGGTAAAAAAAAAAAATCGTCAAAGACTTGTTGAAAGTGTACTTCTATATTATTTTGGCCACCAGGTTGCTTCAAAGTCTTTTCTGAATTCTTTTGAATTAAAAAATTCCAAATTCTTGCAAATAGAAATCCACCCTAGTTCACAAATATGTATCAGCTTTTTCATCACTCTTTCTTAGTCCAATCCATCTCACAGGCAGGACTATTAGGTATGCTTATCCCCTTGAATTATATATAAAATGGAATAATAATAATTAGGAAGGAAAATTTTGCTTCATCCTTTTTTTTTTGGAAAAACTGGATTCACAAATCCTTCCTAATTTAAATTAGGTTCTAGTCATAACTGTCAGTTATCTACTTCCAATTTACGCTGACTCAGGACAGATTGAACAGTATATTCTCAACTGTTTCTTACACTTGGTCATTTCCCTCTACCTCAAGTATCTGCTGTACTGAACAGACCACTTTCCTCTGACTAATGGTGAGGCCTGCCATCTGTTCACATATTCCTAATAACCCTAACCAAGTGTACTCTACACAGTAGTAAGTCAACAATGGTAGCAGAACCACTGTGTATTTAGCATATCCAAACTGGCAACCAGAAAAAGCACTCGGATACTGCAACTGATGAGAGAAAAAGACTAAAAGCCTCAAAGTCTTTGATAATAATAAAAAAGCAGGAATGTAGTTCTTGTAATTTGTTATTAAATGAACTATTTCTTTCTCAAATGAAAGGCATGATCTCATGATGATGCTGGCAGATGATAAGCCCAAATCTAATACTACCGGTATATAAGATGCTAGTTAGATTTAGGGATGGGGGGGGTTGATTGATCCTTTTGAGTTCAGTTATTACATCACAAGTCCCAAGGCTTATCCTTGGGAGAAAAAACAGCTACCAAAAGTATGCAACTCATGACCATCATCATCAGACCCTTGAAGCAGAAGCACAGTATATATGGATGTCCTCGTTTTTGTTACTACAAACACAACCCTTATACATTTCTTTGCAAGAGGACAGCAGCTCAGCCACAATTTTTGGCCTGTAAATGAGGTCGCCGCGGTGACAAAAAGAGAAAGCAGGGCATTCTGCCCAGGATCGGACCCTCCGCAACAATTACATAAGCTTCTGACCATTGGCAACAGGTTTTAGGTCTGAACCCCGATCGTGGGGAAACCACCTGTGCCCTCTCTCTCCCTTGCCTCACCGGGTCCTGATCCCAGCCATCAAACCCACAAGCAGGCGCGAAGAAATTCAGGAAAGCCATAAAGAGGCAACCAGACCGACCCTCGCGATTCCTTCTCCGGGACCCCGGTTCCTCCGATCCAGGCGCCGATTCCACTGCACCCGCCTGTTCCCGCCCGAGCTGAGAAGAGAAAGAAGGCGGGGGGGGGAGGAGTCAGCATCTCCCTGCGACCAGCACCCTTCCCTCCAGGCTGCAGCCGCCCACAGGCTCAGCAAAGCGGAAGATGCAGGATTCTGCAGCTCCTCCTCGGCCAGCAAGCGGAAAAAGGGATCCGCGCCGATCTGGGCTCCTGTCCCCGCCGCCAACAGGGTTTCCCTGAGGCCCGGCCGAGGCGGGGATCTCAGATGAAAACTCCCGCGTTCGGTAGGCCCCGCTGCGGCCGCCGCTACGCGAGGACCATTCCGGGAAGTCGCCCGGCCTACGCAAAGCTGTTTGCGCCGTGTTCCTTAAAGCGCTCGCCTCCCCGGGCTGCAGGTGGAGCCCAGTCGGAGCGACTTGCTCGCTTACCTTGTTTGCTTCTCGCCAGCCCGGCAGCTTCTAGCTAGCCCCTGGGCTGCATTTTTTTTTTTTTTTTTTCTGGGAAACCTGGCCTCGCAGTGCGAGCCCTGCCGCAGTTCGCGGATGAACAAGAAGGGGGCGGGGGTGCAAAGTTAGGGGCTCTTGGCGGTCTCCCGTCTTCTTCCTCCTCCTCTTCCCCCCAGCCGGCTTCCTCGAGGCGTGCCTCCTCTATAACCGGCCTGCAAAGGAGCAAGTTGCTGTAATGGGGGGAGGGGGGGAACGAGTGGAAGCGAGCGAGCGCTTCCCGCTCCTCCCTTTCAACACACGTGTTGATGCCGAGAGAGGGAGAGCGCGCGAGTCACTCAGCCGCCTGTTCTCGAGTAGCTGCCTTTTGGAAGGGGAGGCCGTTGCGGCGCTCTTGACATTTCCAGCCGGTAAACAACTCTCCTGCCAAGAAAGTCACCCTAAAAATAATTTTTAAAAAAACCCAGCCGGGGCCTCAACACAATCGCCTCTCAAAGACCCAGATTCGTTTCCAAGGGACGCGATCACGAGGCGCTGCGAGTGGGCCATTTTAACTTGGAGTTTCCCTTTGCTAAAGAAAAGGCAGGGAGGGAGAGGCGGCGAGGATGCGTCCAAATCGGGCTTCTTTTCCTTGCGGTTCTTCTACTTTATTCTTTTGAGTTCATTCATTTGCAACCTGCCTTTGTTTTCCCTGCATTCTTGCATTCTCCTTAGCAAAAATAAAAATAACGGAAAGTTGGAGCGACTGAACTTTGCCTCCTTTGCATGGTAGTGCTAAAGGCTGCCTCTTTAGAATTACCGGGCACTTCCTACTGGGTCAAGTAATTCATTAGGGAACTCGGCTTGCGTCTCTTATTTGCAAGACGAACAATGTATTCCCCATCTACTGTCCAACCTAAGTCCTTTTAGAAGCAACTTTACTGTATAACCCTTAGCTGCAGACCAGGGAACTGCAAACAGGTGATTTGGCAGGAAAAAAATTCAGGTGTCCCATTTTAGGTCCCAGCATGGTAACCAAGTTGATTTCTAGAGGACATAATCCCTCTTCCTCCTGCTTAGACTAGTAATGTGTCTCTGCTCCTTTTTTACAAGTTGCTGTTTTGTATCTGAGCTTGTCAGCTGGTTTCAAGGGGGGAGGGGGAGTTCCTATTACTTGCCCCAGCTCCTGGTCCACCTAGCAGTTCGAAAGCATGCAAATAGATTAATAGGTACCACTTTGGTGGGAAGGTCACAAAGTTCCCTGGGCCTTTGTCATACAGCTGTGCTGGCCACATAACCCCAGGAAATGTCTTTGGACAACGCTGGCTCCATTGGCCAAGGAACCACCACCTATTAAAGTCGGACACTCCTGGACTGGACAGGAAAACCTTTAAGGCTAGTTTTAGCTGTGGTAGCATTTTCTAAAAAAAAAAAAAATATGACGTCCTACATTTTAGGTTAGAATTCCACTTGGAACTCTTGCATTTATAAAACAATATATGTTCCAAATAAATATTTAAAATACTGGTCTCTTTTATTTATTTATTTATTTATGAGACTTATATACCGCTTTAAGTGCAAGCACTCTTTAAGCGGTGTACACCAGTAAGCAATGTATGTATATATATTTACATTGCCCCCAACAATCTGGGTCCTCATTTTACCTACCCCGGAAGGATGGAAGGCTGAGTCAACCTTGAGCCGGTGAGATTTGAACCGCTGACCTGCTGAACAGTCAGCTAAAGTGGCCTGCAGTACTGCACTCTAACTGCTACGCCACCTCGGCTTTTGTCCTAAAGAATAAATATCCTTAGACAGTGGTTGTTATAATGTGACATATTAACTGACCCTAACGCTAGCACTTTCAGTTAAAGTACAATGCCTCTAAATATTGGATGCTGGTTAAAAAAAAGGGGGGGGTAGGATGAACTATTGCCTGCATACCATGTTTTTAAAGTGGCCAAAGGCATTCATATGACTAATGTTTTTTTTTGTTTTTCTTTATTGAAAATTTTTTAAATTTTACAAAAAAAAGTTCCCTCCCCCGAACCCTCCCGACCCTCCCCCAACCTTCCCAGAGCTGAATACAGGCTTAGTTAAAATTTAAAAAAAAAATCTTAAAACACATATATTCCGTGAACATATCCGAATACATTAATTACACCAATTATAAAATAATTGACAACAGTATATATAAAAAAAACAAGAAGAGAGAAAAAAAGAAACAGAAATCTTAAACTTTAAATATAAGTTATTCAAAAACTAAATAATATTTTTTTATATCCAACTTGTATAAAATCTATCCATCTTTTCCATACCAAGAGATACTTCTCTTGCGATTGATCTTTCAAAAGAGCCGAAATCTTTGCCATTTCCGCCAAATAAGAAACTTTAAGAAACCATTCTTGCAAAGTAGGCAAAGATTCCTTCTTCCAACATTGCCCTACCAACAACCTAGCCCAGGGGTAGGCAACCTCGGCTCTTTTATGACTCATGGACTTCAACTCCCAGAATTCCTGAGCCAGCATAAAAGAGCCAAGGTTGCCTACCCCTGACCTAGCCGCTTTGATTAAATTTAACATTAATATAATCTCTTTACTATCACAATCAGAAACAATACCTAACAAAAACAATTGTGGAGTAAATTTTATCCTTCTTCTAAAAATTCTTTGAATATTCCACCATATCTTAATCCAAAAAGCTTTTATATTTTTACATAACCACCAAATATGATGATAAGTAGCATCCAAACACCCACATCTCCAACATTTAGGCTGCAAGTCAGGATACATACGAGACATTTTTTGTGGATCAAGGTGCCATCTATAAAACATTTTATAAAAATTCTCCCTTAAATTTTGGGCTTGTGTAAATTTAACATTCCTCACCCAAATAATCTCCCAAGTATCTAATAAAACCGGTTCATCAAAATTTTGTGCCCATTTAACCATACATTCTTTCACTAATTCTGCTTCTGAATCCAATTCTACTAACACCCCATAAATTCTTTTGATATGAGTTTGTCTTTGATCTTTTATTTGTTTTAACAAATTCTCATCTTCTCTAAGCAAACCTACATTACAATCTATCTTCCACCTCTCCATTATCTGCCTATACTGAAACCATGAATAAATGATATTTTCCTGTGTTAAGTCTTCCAAAGATTTTAATTGCCAATTTTTACCATCCCATCTAAGTAGTTGTGCATAAGAAACACTATCCATCTTGACTCCTCCCCTTATCCCTTCTATCGCATGCCATGGTATAGCCCATAACGGAATTTTAAAATCGCTTCTATAATATTTCTTCCAGACCCGAAGTAAAGAAGTCCTTATAATATGAGATTTAAAAACCCTATCAACCTTTTTATTAAAAATTAAATAGGCATGCCATCCAAAAAGTAAATCCCAACCCTCCAAGAGGAGTACTTCTACATTTGTTAAATTAATCCAATCACTAATTAATGTTAATACCGCAGCATCATAATACATTCATATGACTAATGTTGAAACTGCAGGTCGGTCACTGGGATCAGAGTTTGTCTTCCGAGCTTTTGGATTCATGCTGGAGCCCATCTTCCCTGAAAAACCTCTGGTCCCGATGACCGACCCAGGTTGGATCCTACAACATTAACCTGGGACACAGATATTCATTCGCCGTCATTCGTGAATGTTGAAACTGAATGTAATGCCATAAGCCAGGGATCTTCAAAATTGGCCCTTGCCTGGCTAAGGAATTCTGGGAATTGAAGTCCACAAGTCATAAAAGGGTCAAGTTTGAAGACCCCTGCTGTAAGCAATCCATATATGGCTTAAGGTTGTTATGTGCTAACTCAGATCCTGGAAACAATTCCACAATGTTTGTGCATCTAATTTATAATCAGCATACTGGGCTACCTTATTCAGATAATTTATATTTTAAATGCATACAAATGTGTAAAAGTGAAAAAAAAGTCATCTGTTTGCTTAATAACTTTCTGGAACCAGACATACCAAAAATTAAAGGATGAAACAGAGCATTCCTCAGGACATATGAACATACAACAACTAAAACCATGAGGTATTCTGGGCAGCTTTTAAAAGGCCAATTCCTTTTGGAGAAAAGAGCCTTGGGCACTTCTGAGATGTCTTTAACAATCTGTATTTGGGGTTTTAAAATAATCGTACAGGTTGAGCTGTTATTTTGGGAATGCAGTTTCAAGCAAACATACAGATCTGCGATCTCAAAGGGGCTGACTTGAGGTCATGAGTCCCTAAACCAACACATGATCTTTTCATAAGGAAATTCAAAGTACTTTTCGTCAGCCTTAAGCAACACAAATCAGACCAGATAAATGTTTTCAATCCTGACCTTTTGAATGGACCTTATATATTTAAATAAGGGTAAACAGTTGAACGTCTGAAATATAATACTTATATTTGTATCCTGTTTTTTCTATTAAGCGGGGCCATGCCCAATATCAGCCCACTTTTAATCTGGTTGCAATAGTTGGTGAATAACAAACCTAATTAGAAAGACATGGTTAGCCAAGACTCACCAAGCACCCAACTTACATATCCAGGCCTAAGTGTTGTTACTCAGACATCCAAGCACAATTTACCTCTCTTCATGCCTTTAAAAAAGCTAGTTAAATCCAGAGTCTTCCTAAATAGGCCTACTCTGGACAATTATACTAACAGAAAAGGAAGATATTATTTTTGCCAGTTATTTTTAAAACTTCAGTTTTCCCAGAAGGTTTCCTTGCTTCAATATGTGTGGAAGGGGAGAAGTTTGGGGGACCGCTATGGAAGAGAGGGAATTTAAGAGTATATTATGCCCTCTTTTGCCACTGGAAGAAACCAGAGTAACATTTTCTTACAAATGGAAAATAGCACTAGATTTATATAGTGCTTTACAATGCTTTCAGCCCTCTCTGGGTGGTTTACAGAGTCAGCATATTGCCCCCAACAATATGGGTTCTCATTGTACCAACCTTGGAAGGGAAGGCTGAGTCAACCTTGAGCCACATCAGGATCAAACTCCTGGTTGTGGGCAGAGTCTGACTACAGTAAATACATTCTAAACCACTGCGCCACCAGGATTCTGTGGTTAAAGAGAAGATACTCTTCTGCTTTTGACAACTTTAGTTTGGTTGGTCAGAAAACTAGTATAAGGTAGGCCCAAAGATCTAGTGTGGGGAGCTCCAAATGACACAAAGGATGAGAGAAATCCAACCCAATTTGTTTGTTACTGCAGCAATAAAATAGCATGTATCCAAGTGTTAGACTTTTATGCAATATTCAAACAAAGAAGAAAAACAATTGGTCAGAACTTGATACATACGTATGTCATCTTTTGTATTGCATAATATATGAGTGGGGATGCAATAATAATAATAGTAGTAGTAGTAGTAATGATGATGATGATGATGATGATAATAATAATAATAATAATAATAATAATAATAATAATAATAATAATAATAAAAGTTGGAAAGGACATTGGAGGTCGTCTAGTCCAACTCCCTGCTCAAGCAGGAAACCCTATACCATTTCAGACAAATGGCTGTCCAGTCTCTTCTTAAAAACCTCCAGTGTTGAGCATTCACAGCTTCTGGAGGCAGGTTGTTCCACTGATTAATTGTTCTAACTATCAGGAAAATTCTCCTTAGTT